CAAAAAAAAAAAAAAAAAAAAAAAACAAAGAAAACCCGAGTTTTTCGCTGCGAGTATTACCACAAAAAGTACATTTGTAGCACTGTAATCGCTTGTCTGAGACATGTCCGTTTCTTCTTCTGATAACGAATCTAGGAAATTAGTGAGGATGTGCGAGACGTCGAGCACAAATGGCTGGAGCACGATGGTAACGCGCCGTTCATCGAAACCAGACGCACTCCGGACATCGAGAACATGGATCCGGAACAGTATCGTCAATCCATAACGCAGTTAGTATTCGTTCGTTCTCGCACAAATTAAAAATTAAAAAGAAAACACGCTAATAATGTGTTTGCGTGTGTCGATTGCTAAGTTACTGGTACAGACGTGTGAAATATTATACGTTTGTTGCAGAATGAACAACAGTTTGAGCGAGATTCAAGCGGATATTCAGCGTCTAACAAGCCAGCAGAATCAAATTCAACAGCAGCACCTGATGTCGCAGCATCAGAAGCAGATGCAGCAACAGCTTCAGCAGCTGCAGAGCCTCAGTCAGCAACACATGCAAGTGCGTTGTTCCCTAAAGCATATCATGTTATCACGCGTCGCGGTCGCGCGTCACGCGTTACGATTAGAGCTGATTTCTGGAACTTACGTTTTGTGTTTTGGGTTTTACAGAGTTACGGAATGCCGCCGATGAATCCGTTAACGCCCAGACTGCAGGATACGCAACAGTCGCAGTTCTATTTGCACGATCAGCCGCAAGTGCAGAGGAGAATGTGGGGTCAACCGGCGCCCGCCCAGAGTCTGGCCAATGAAATGGCCGCGGTAGGCTATCAGCAGCCGATAGATTCTCGATTTAGCCCACAGTCTGTCGGTACGAGTCATCAGAATTTTTTAAATTTTGAAGTAGAAGCAAATTAAAAAAAAACACTCGCTCTTACAAAAAAAAAATAGAATAATTCGCATATACTTAGTAACACACAAATAATATTTTAAATAAAATATTATTTTATTAAGTAATATATATATAATTTTAATCAAAAATAAAATAATAATTTGATATTTCCTAAGTATATTTATGTGCTTCAAATTATTTTATAATTTTTTGATTATTTTATTTCGTTATGTTTAAAATTTATTTTGTTGTATTATTTTTGGCGTTATATATATACTTTGATAAATTTATTGTTGAACGTTTTTTTTTCCTCAGCTTACCAGCAGGATATGCGCGTATACGCGGATCCCACGAGAACCTGGGCCGCGCCGTCGCCGCAAAAGGGATTCGTCCTGCACGATACTCAGGAACCAAGATACCTCAACGGCGGTGATCATAGTCTGTGTAATAATCAAATGAGCCATCCCAATCCCACGTATCCGGGGTCTTCGTCGCTTTTCAACCAAACACAAGCCACGTCTGCTAGTCCACAACATCGTAACGCCGTAAGTGTTCTCGCGGTTTTACTTAACGTAGCGATCTATTTCTCTCATTTGTGTATCCGCAATTATTAACACAACGCGCTAGAGTAGCCGTAGAATAATATTGTTTTTATTATTATGTTCCTTTTCATTCATTGTCTCTCTCGTCATTACGCTTTTATTTGTACTTATATCGATTGGTTCTCTCTGCATACAATACGCGCGCACACATAAATCGCATTGTTTCATTGCGAAAGTCAGACGGGCGAGACTATACGCTGCGCCCAGCAGTCGTTGATAATGTGTGAGTAAAAAGTCACAGCTAAACGTTTTTGCGATGTGTGTGCGATGATCATTAGCTCCATTTGGTCACTTCAATACGAACGATGGACGCGCGAGTGTGTACGTACACGGGAACCAGTTAGTGATGTAATGCACGATTATAGACATTCGTTCTTGACGTGAAACATGGCAGACGCTGCCCACACCGGCGGTGTTTAAGCGTCGCGCTCTGACTCGGATTTGCACAGTCTAGCCTTCTTAGAAGAGAGATTTGCAAATTTGAATAAACATGTACTTTCTTTATTCGTCGTCGACCGCATCGCGCATTTACTCCGCTGAGGTACACTTTGGAATATTATTTCGCATCGCGCTTTTCACGCGTTCGAATTTCGCTTTTGATATGTGCGCGGAACGAAACGTTCGTTAAACGAAAAACTTTTTTTCCCCGATACCGGTAAAGTGATGCTACGTGTTCTAGTGTGTTTTTGGGGTTTTTAAAAATTTAAATCGGTGTAATTTAAATAAAGTGAATTTTTTATTACATTAATTTTATTTTTATTACATGAACGTTACATTTGACAACATTATTTAAAAGTGATAATTTATAATACTTAATTTTTTTCTATCTGCACATTGTGTGTGTTATTATTTCAGGTTCATCGAATAAGTCAGTTAATTAGTGAAAGTCCCGAACCCAAGAGATCGATTATACATCACATCCCAATCTCATGCGAAAGTCCGACGGAAAAAAGGCAGAGTACCGCTTTGCACACTCCGGTCCCAGCCCCGCCTGCGGATGACATGAAGCCTCAGAATATATCTTTTATTGGTAATTACCGCAATCGTACAAATTAACGCAATTAAATTATTTAATTATATATTTAATGTTTTTCAATGTGATGAAAATATTTCTTTTTCTCGTATTTTTCTGCAATTTACTGTTAAAACTGCCTTTTTTTTTTATTATTAATTTTTTTCAAGGCACGGACGATGAAATCGCGCAAGGCATTCGCGGCTTAAACATCACGTCAGGTAGTCGTACATACAGAATACCTTCGCCAACCAGACCCACGATATCGCAAAATTCCTTCCAACCTCATCCGTTGAGGGAGACTTCGTCGCGATCAGCAACCCCGGACGTCACGCCTCTCGATCCGAATGATGCGGGCGAGAAGGGCTTCTACATTTCCTTCGATAATGACGTTCCTAAGAAACCGAAACCAACTCTCAGAGTCAAAAGAATGTCTCCTAAGAAAGTGAGTAATTTTCCGTTCTCATAAAAACTGAAACACATTTCACAATAAATTTATGTTTTAAAAACAAATCTGTTGTTTCAGGAACGGAGCGTATCGTCTTACATCGAACATGAAGATTTTTCGGTGCGGCCCGAGTCGCCTCCTGCCAACGCAGTCGAGAGGCAGAAACAAATGGAAGCTCAGAGAGAACTTGAGCGGGAAAGATTGAGACAAGCTGACGAGAGGGAGCAGCAGAGGCAAGAAATGAGGGACAGAGAACTCAAGAAAGAAATTGAGAGAGAACGACAGAGAGAAAAGCAACGTGACGGTAGCGCGGAAGGTCGACACACTTCCGGAGTTGGTTTAGTAATTGGGAATCAGCTCACGAATCCCGATCCTGTGCGTATTAACATAAAGCGCTGTAACGGATTTTTTTGGTGCAATAAATTTTATTACTTAAATTTTGTCCGCAGAATTCTATGGATGAGATGGAGAAGAAGAAGGAGAGGATAATGTTGATGTCGCTGCAGAGAAGACAAAGACAGGAAGAGATGAAGGAGAGAAAGGAAGTCGAGGCGCAAGCACGCAGGGAACAGGAAAAAATGAAGGCGGAAGAGAGAGCTCGCAAGAAAGAAGAGGAGCGACAAAGAAGAGCTGCCATCTTGGAGCACCATAAAGTGAAGAAGGCGATCGAGGAAGCAGAGAGAGAAGTGAGTAAATTTGAAAAAAACAAAAAAAATTGAAACCTTACACGATTACGAAACGTTTTATCATTTCTCAAATAGGGTAAGGTAATTGATAAGGAGCTTCTGAATGCAATAAATCCAGCAAAATTACGTAACAAGACTGCAACCGCTCGACCACGGCCCAAAACAATTCACGGCGACGCTGGCGCAGTGTTGGATTCCGGAGTTCTCACACCTAGTCGCGGGAAGAAAGGTTCTTCCTCCAACTTAAGTACAGGTAAGTCTGACATCAAGTCGCATCTGCAGAAAACAAATAACCTCTCAGTCTACGATCGATATGTTTCTTGGGAATTAGAATACAGAGTCCGTAAAAATAAATTTAAGATCATTTGCTCCGAAAATTCTGCTGATTTTACAAAGATTTCTTAAAAAGAAAACAAAGTAACAAAAAGACAAGTGTATTTTTGTTCTCGATCAGTTTTAATTTCGAGTTAATTCCCAAGAAATATCAGATCTTTTCACAAAGTTGTTGTGTCACAAGTGCATTTCTCCGTCGTAATACCCTAATAGGAACAATCTCCTCGATGTTGCACTGTGATTTTGCATTTATTCATTGCATGGCGAAGATTTTTACGATCAGAGCCGTTTTATCTTTTGCGATCTTAGTGACATTTTTTATTCTTGCTGTATTAATTTTTTTTTTTTTTTGTTTCTGTTGTAATTAGTGGTTTCTTTTATGAATTCTCACCCAGACCACATGTCCACGAGCGCTCTTGATTTTCTCGTCTATGCTAGTTTATCATCGCGTCAGCAATGATCGCAAAGGCGGCAATTTGAAATTGCCGCATAAATTTCATAGAGATTAAAGATCACTAAGATATACTTGACGCCAAACTAGAATAGCACAGAAAATACCGAGCCGATTGTTTTGCACTAACACACTTACTGTAGCGTCGCTGACCTCTCCGACGATGAGGCGAGATTACTACCGAGGCTCGCAGGATAGTCTCACTGCTGCCCATCTCGATGACCGACGTTGTTCCGGCCCACTTTATCGGGGCGGCAGTCTCAGGGGTATGCACTACACACACTATCTCCACCACGTTTAATAGACAATACAGTACACGCAAAAGTTCCTATATTTTTACTTTGAATTTAAGTTTCTTTCCAATTGAATAAATCAAATTTAAATAATCATTAGTTTTGTTTTCTACGCAAAAAAAGATGATGCTTCGTAAGTTGTAATACGAAGAATTGGATGATGATTGTATTAATTATATATTGACATGATAATAAAATATATATATTGACATAATAATATAAAAAATTGTGAGATTATATATATTAATAGAACAAACTGAAGATTATTTAGTCGGACGTGATAATGAGAGAGCGATTTTTGTGCAAGAGAATTCGGTTTGATTAAAACCAAAAAAGTTTTCAAGAGAAAGAAATCGATTCTCAAGAAAGCCTTAATAACGTGTCTCTCTATCTAGTTTTTCTTCTAATACATTTTCTCGCAACATGTTTTTTTACTGTGCTACTTTTTTCAATAGTATCCTTTAATATGGCATGCTGTATATCTTGTTTTTTTTCTATATTTGTGAGTCGATGTATAATGTACACCAGTCGATGTATAATGTTGAATTATTATAGATTTAATATTTATATATATAAGTAGAATAAAAAACTTTCCCGTAAATTAAAATTGATTGTAATAGAAATACCCTGTTTTTTTTTTTAGTATCTTCCGTAGATTCACCTGACGATGGTAGAGGTTCCTCGCCTTGCCGCAGCGTAAACCAACTAGGTCGACGTGGCTCATACAAAACCTCCAGAGGTGGGTTCGATGTTGCTTAAACGATATTAATCGCGTGAATGTCGCAAGGCTCAATTTACAAATTGTTCGTTTTTTGGAACGTTTTGGCTTTGACGAGAGTAGATTCGTTGCAGGATGTGATCACACTGGTATGGGCAGCTATGAGTCTATCAGAAAGTCATACGATGAATGTTTGAACATTTGATTAGTTCTTGATATTATACATATATATATCTCCTTCTACCGAACGACTGAGCAAGGTCACGACACTTTGCGGGTATGAGTGTGTTCTCCTTTCGGGTTTTTTCAGTTTTTTTTGTTTTCATTGAGTTTTTAAATTTAAGTAGCGCCTCAGTAGTGGAACATATATCTTTCGGTTGGAACGCAACATTGTTCTGCACTAAAAACTGCACCGGCCACTTCAGTTCTCGATGTATCTCTCCCCGGACATGGCTCGTAGTTGTTTAGACTTGACTACCTAGTTTTCCCTTTAAATCATCCTTATCCGCGCTCGCTCGCTCGCTCGACCGCCCGCTCGTTTCCCCGATGATGCGTACGATTGAAGCATCTCTTCCCCCCCGTCCACCTTTATTTAATCTCTCTCTTTTTGATCCTACATGGCGTTTTGAGTGTAACACAGCGAACGTTGCGTTATTGCAGATGCGCAGGAGTCTCAGCAACAGGTTAGAGGCAGGCCTAAATACCAGACTTACCAAAACTTTAAGGGGAGAAAGTCTAATTCCCTGATGAATTTGTGCGGTAAGAAGCACCAAAGTGACTTGGAAATACGTTCGATCCTCCCCTTATATATATCGTGCAACAGTCTCAATATATATATATGTGTGTCCCGCGTATATATATTTATATTTAAAATGTTTTATATACATATATATTATATATCACCATCCCCATTTTCATAGGCAGAATTATTGTAGCACACGTATACGCGCACTCACATGCACACACATAATAAGTAGTGGCATGGTGGCAGATTGGAGAGCACAGGTGGCAGTTGAATATTTAACGACTCTTATACACGCACGTCAAACATATATGCATACTTTTTTGTTTTCTGTTTACATTTTTAGCGCAAAGTTCCTTTCCCGACTTGGTGACTTTACGACAAAGAGAGCTTTTTTTTTTTTTTCTAGCTTTTTTTCTCAAATAATGTGAGAATATTATATACATTTATGATTTTTGCGACATCACATAGAATCGGTTTCTGAAGCGCTTTGTCGAGACGGAACTTTGTGTCCTGTCACATTCCTTTTAGGATAATTATTTATTTTCGCTGTTGTTGCTGTGTAGAGAAGCTGCTCGGTCGAGGCTTATTTGAGCTTTGTTATTGTATAGCACTGGTTTTGCGGGCACAAGGTGGTGGTGGTTGTACATATCTCGTCTCTCTGTTCGACGTGTTTTCCTCCCTCAGATTTATTCTGTCTCTCGGTGGTTGTGGTCTTTTTTATAATTAACTTTTCTTTTTTATCTAGTATCCCGGATTTTTCCTTAATTATCATTCCACTTTATTCCGCTCCACACGTTCCTTCATTGGTTTTTTACATTTCCAGGTGTTGTGGCGGCAAAGGTATAGGAAATTAACGAATAACGTAGCCGATGTAAAAAAATGTGTGAACGAGAGATCTCGTTGTTTCTCGTGCTTTAGTGTACACACACGTTCGTTGTTCTATATTATATCTTGTTTTTGTTCATTGTCAGTAAATCATCGAACATTTTTCTATTGCATAGCACAGAGTTCGCGAGTTCGAGTCATCGGAATACGGATAAAGAGTAGTCAGCGTGAAATCATTAGCGCATCGACATCGAGAAAAGGTTTTATAGTTGCTGAGTAAATAGAAAATCTAGAGAATCATTTATACATGCTAGAATCATCCTACGTACATGTAATCGACAGTTCTTTAAATAAGTCAGTAGATAGAAATGTTTCTTGATTCTCATTTTGTCGAATGATAACAAAAACAATCTTTTTCTTATTCTGGTAAGATGCGCGCGCGCGCAAGTTGCGCAAAGTGCTTCGTACACTTGTAACAAGTGACTAATACTTCTCACTCTCGGCGGTGACTAACCATTAATATCGGAAGAGTCTCTGTATCTTAATTAATTATCGCTTGGGTGATGAGAAGAAGAGAAATTTTTAATATTGATCGATTTTTTTTTTTTTTTTTTTTTTTTTTGTCACCGTCGTTTGGGCAAACGCGAATACACGGCCGCCTCTCCGTTGTTGATTTCGATCTTCATATAGCGGAGCGTGGCGTTTGCAAGTGCGAGTAGTGATCAAGATGTTGTGATGTGTCGGAATACAGATTCGGACAGCGGCCTGGGCAGATCGACCCCGCCGAGACGAGCCGCCAGTCCGGGTATAGGCAGCATGAGACACCTGACATCGCCTTCGGGTCCGGGCTCGTTACCACCCGCCCTGATGACGTCGAAGAAGAGGGTCTACGACGACGGCAGCAGCGACATCAGCAGCACACCCAGTTCTATGATGGACTATAACGGTATAAACTAGTGATACAAGCGGTGAACGCGTATTTTCTTCAAAAAAACAAAAAAAAAAAAAAAGAAACAAGGAATCTTAACAATTATTTGATAAAATTTACAATTAAACAGGCCCGAGACTGTATAAACTGCCGATAGCTAAGTCGAATCGCACCATTATGCTGAACGCCGTGGAGTACTGCGTTTTTCCCGGCACAGTGAACAAGGAAGCCAAGACGAGAGTTTTGGACGAGATTCACCGGTCTGAGAGCAAGCACTTCCTCATTTTATTTAGGGACGCTGGCTGCCAATTCCGTGCTCTCTACTCGTATTGTCCCGAGAGGGAGGAAGTAACCAAGCTGTACGGTACCGGGCCCAAACAAGTCATTGATAATATGTTCGACAAGTTTTTCAAGTGAGTTAAAAATAAAACGTTGGTTATTTCAATTCTGTGTAAAATTCTCGTGCGTGTTGTGTGCGTGTGTGTGTATTGACGTAAATTATGTTTTTTTGTTTTCTTTTTATCTTCTTTCAGATACAATTCTAGCGGAAAATGTTTTTCGCAAGTTCACACGAAGCATCTCACGGTGACCATAGATGCCTTTACGATACACAACAGCCTTTGGCAAGGTAAAAAGGCTGTGAACTTACCGAACAAGAAGGACATACCGCTCGTCATATAGTTTTACACAAGTGGTCACACACTTAACATTTACGCTACCGTTCCCTCTGTTGTTCATATAGTTACTACATATTTTAATACAAGCCCATATTAAATTAATGCGAATAAGTTGCGTTCTTAGTCAATTTTTATAAAGGCAATTGATCGGTGCTGACCCGTGTGTGTGTGTGAGAGAGAGAGAGAGAGAGAGAGGAGGATATACATCGGCGCAAGTAAGCCCACGCTCGTGACGATTGCACGCCGCACTTTTTGCTAGAGCGGGAACAGAACCTTGTTACCAAAAAATAGAAAAAAAAAAAACACCTTTCGATTCTTTTTTTATGTCTTTCGTACATTGTTTAGTTTTTATTTTAGTTTTTTTTTTGCGTTGTTGTGTGAAACGTCAGCATCAATCACTGTGTCATAAAGTAACCAGTATTTACTTATTAGAAATGATTTGTTGTTCGTACAATACATATAATATACATTTGTAATATAAATATATACATATATGCATAATATGTAATATATATATATATATATATTGCATGCATATATATATATACAGGGTGTCCGACAATTACTTTAACATCTCTCGTAGGCAGATAGAAAGATAGAGTAAAACTGAGTTGAAAAGTCCTGAACCATTTTTTTCAATTACATATAATAAAGGAGTAATTATTGAATAAATCAAGCCAATTAGCGCCGACCTTTAGCCGAACGCACGTCAGTGAACCACACTTCTGGTATGCGTGAGCGCTCCGCGCGGCTCACTGACGTAAGCCCGGCTAAAGGTCGGCGCTGATTGGCTTGATTTATTCAATAATTACTCCTTTATTATATGTAATTGAAAAAAATGGTTCAGGACTTTTCGACTTAGTTTTACTTCTACCTGCCTACTAGAGAAGTTAAAGCAATTGTCGGACACCCTGTATATATATATATATATATATATATGCATATGTAATACATGTATATCACATATGTATATATATTACATGTACACGTATATTACATATGTATATGAAGTATGTTCTAAAAACACACATCCCTTCCTCCCATTTTGCGAACTAACTCCGGACACGTAATCGCCTCGTAATCGTCTAAACCGTGTGTTGTGATCGCGTGCGATGTGATGCGCGTAAAAATAATCGATTTTCTTTTTCAAAGCAATTCAAGCTGAGAAGAGCGAGCGAAAGTACGGCGATGCATTTTTTTTTGTTTTTTTTTTTATTTTTTTTATTTTTTACGTGTGCATATACAATGCGATTCGCACAGATCTTTTTCCATCTTTCGTAGGCTAAGAGTCTAAATTATTGTACACAACATTCTTTAGAGCAATTGAAACTTTTTAAAGAGTATATATTAATAAGGTAACGAGCGAGACACGCAAATATATATATATATATATATGTATGTATGTATATATACATATATATATATATATATATGTATATATATATATATATGTGAGGGATCATTAATTGTTTTTAAATGTGTCCGCGCATTTGTCGACTTCGCGAGCCAATTTTTTTATTACTTCTCCTCGTGCGCCTTCGTAACACAGCACGCGATGCAGAGTCTTGTTTGTGCAGTAAGGCTCAAAAACATAAAGACTTCTTTTTTTTTTTTTGTTTGAACATCGACTTTTTCTATTTTTAATCAGAGAACGTCGTTTCTTTTTTATACATTCGCTTGTTATATATTTTTATCAATTGAGAGATACGCATCGGCAGAGTGTTCATCGCGACTTGATAGACGAAAACGAAGTCGAGAATTAATGATTTCTCACAATGTAATACGCGTGTGTTTCTCGCGGCTGTTAGCGATTGTAATATGCGTAGCGCGAGTTTTGCGGAACAAACAAACGCAAACCGGCAGTTCTTGTTGCAAATAAATAAGTTTGTTGCGTAAATAATTATCGAGAGCAGAACGTTAAAAAAACCAGCCTTAATTCGGTGGGAGCGTGTGTTCACGTATTGCTTGCGAATCGGTTTTCTCGGGCTACGATTATTTCAAGTTGTGTCTGCGAGCAACGAATGCGCTGAACGAGACGAGCGTGGCGGCGGTTTCAGAGCTCATACGCCAAATCGATCGTCTTTGTCGCGAACGAAGGCGCGTTTCGACGGAAGAGAATTTAGATAGTTATCATTGTGTACAGAATGGTTGTTTTTGCGTAAAAAAAAATAATAATAATAATATCGTTGCCTCGCGAGAAACGAACGAAGAGAACGCGAAAGAAACGTCGCGCGCGTTTCGATCGCGTTTCGCAAGAGGAAGGTGGAAAATGGACGAACACCACAAGTGGAAGTACGAGTTTTTATCTCTCTCTGTGTGCGTGTGCGCGCTTGATCGAGCGAAATCTTGCAACACAATCCCCATTCGTCGTCTCGTACGTGTTAAAACAAAAAAAAAAACACCATATTCTGCTTTCCTCAAAAAACAAAGAGAAAAACAATACGAAGCCTTGTGTTATAAATACTGTAACATTGAATTTGAAGCGTGTAAAGACACTTAACGAATTGACAACTTCTCCTTGACTTTTCTTCAATTTTGTGTCTTGTCGCCGCGTTAATTACGTTTTTTCATCACGATGAAAATTTTTAAACGAAACTTACGTAGCGTAATCCTCCCTCAGCCATCTCTCAGAAACGAAACTTCCGGTCGATCCAAAGCGAACAAAAACGAACACGGCGATTTGTGTGTGAGTGTGCATGTCGACTTTAAGATACTTTATCAAAGGAATTGTACTACTTTATTTGTGCCATATAAAAAAAAGTTCGACGTTCGCTTTTCGCATGGTATTGGGCATCAGCTTCCTATCTCGCTGAACGAGTGATTTTTTTTTGTTTTTTTTTTTTTTTTCGATCGGATATACATATATTTCCTTTATCACGCGACGTTTATCGTAGAAACACGCGAGGAGAATTAAAAGTTAGAGGATAGAGTTAAAGCAAACGTTTTTTTTTTGTATACAACACATCAAAGATTTTTGTCTCGTTAGTGTGCAAATTAATTTTTCTCTCCTTGGTCTCCGCGGATCTCGTCCGTCGGATTCTCGACGATCGTATCTTTTCCGGATCCATTTTGAGTGCGAGTTTGTGTAAGTTTTTTTCGACTCGGGCGCGAACTTTTTGAAGTCGAACATTTGTGGAAAAGCCTCCGCGTGACACTTGTAGCATAAAAAATTACTAACGATACAACTACGCGACATATCGAAACTTCAAACTATAATTCTCCGATAGAGTTAAAATTTTGCGGAGGAATTGTATGTATTTTCGAGTTTTACCAATTCAGAGAAAAATGTGAGTTAACTGGTTTTCCGCGTTTCCTTCTCCCCCTTCTTCCTCCCCCTTTTACCTAACCAAATGTAATGACAAGGAAGGACTCGAGAGAGATCGAAAGAGATATACATATATATATATATAGACTCCGTCGAGATTACAGATATTAAAAGAGAAGTTTATTACTCTATAAAGAACCTGTTTATTGTAAATTTATTCAGAGAGAATTGTGAGCTAAGAGAGAGAATGCGAGAGAAGATAAAGAATTCTAGAAGTTTAAAAAAAAAAAAAAAACAGTCCGAGCTGACAATACCGAATGTTGAGGTATGCGCCATAAAAAGAGAAAGGGAAATAGAATGCAAATCGCGATAAAAAAAAAGATGATGTTTGAGATGAGAATGAAGAGAGAGAGAGAGAAAAATAAACATATAAATTGCGATTAATGTATACATTTAGTCACTAATCTTAAGAGCCAGCGAGAATAATGGCTTGTGGAGATGGGATTGACTACAAAGTTACGACGTTAAGAGAGATCTCTCGGATAGATGTGGTCGCTCTTATGCTTGATATTTATATTTTTTGAAGAATAGATGCTATTATAGTGAATTTATGAAGAAAAAGAAAAAAACAAAAAGGAAACTCGGTGCGACAAATTGCGATAATTAGACGAAAATTATAATAGGGAGAGGAGGACACGAAGGAAGAGGGACAGGAAATCGAAGAGATAACAGTTGAAAAATTGCGACTGCGGCGCGACGTTTGGTCGTTGTGCCGCGGTTAAAAAAAAAAAAAAAAAAAAAAAATCGCGCTTACTAATAAACGACGTTACATGATAATTGTCAATTTTTATTATCGCAGAAATTTCAACGTCAAGGTGAATCAGTTTTGGACTTTATCTGTGTGTCTCTGTAAATATTATGTTTTTATATATACATATATACATATATATATATATATAAACGAAAAAAAAAAAAAACCGTATAGCTACTCGCCGATATGTATATTTATTCAATACATCATGTAAGATTTGGGTCATAATTTACTGTTAGCATCTTCGCAGCGAATGTCATCAATAAAATTTAATAACCTATTTATAATAGATTTTATTCTTCCGCGAATAAATTATGTACACGCACGGGGTCAGAGAGACCGCGTGTCCCACATACGTCAAATCAATTACATCTCAATCTCGAACAAATTCAAGGCTCGTTACGTCGCTTTTTATACAAATTTAATTTAATGCTCTTTCACATATTTCTGCGCGTTACACATAAATTACAACAAACTGTTACACTTTTGTATTACAGAATTCGCACGTAAAAGTAACAAGTGATCTCTCTTCAAGGGTTACAAGTAAAGAATTAATTTAGCAAAGAGCAAGTACTCACACTTTTTAACAAGATTGAAAATATCTTGGCTAAAATCCGCGCTGAAATAGTTTAAATCTTTGTTAAGATAATCCTTAGGACACTCACACTGGGTTACGCTAACCCAGGGCGATTTTCATCAAAAGCGCGGCTTTTTGAAACGTGAAGTAGGCGGAGGTTCGGACTGAAGAGAGAAAAAACTTTGTGTGCGCGGAGAACCGCCGTTCACAGACGACGATTCTTGCTTGTGTGCGTACCCCCACCGCTTCGATTGGCTTCGATACTCTCGTTGCTGCGTTGAGCTCGATCTTTCATCACTGCGTGTCGCCAAGCTGCAAACGTGTAAGCTACGCCCCAATCACTAATTTTCTACAGAAGCGGGAAGGCTTCTGTAAAAATGGCGTCAATGATGAAATCAGTGTGATGAAAGTCCTGTTTACTGTTTTTGTGCATTTACTGCGTAGTTAGTGTTTTTTTTCCTTCATCGAAAATGTATTGCTTTGGATGCAATTTTATGGGTGCAAATCGTCAACGTACAACCGCAAACATGACGAGAAGAAGCCAGTTTTTTGCCATTTTACAGGTGAGTTAATCTCTTACATGCAAATTTTTTTTACTTGTAAACGGATATTCAATATAATCCAATAATTATGTACTTAATTTAAAGACAATAAAGAACAACAAATAATATAAAAACACGGCAACTTTCGACCAATTTGTTTGAATTTCCCGGCATTTACCGATTAGGGCGGAGCCAATAAATATCGCACTTCGATATCTCAGCCAACTTCAGCTCGGCGACATCGGGCATATGCCTTTAGCACAGTAAATGTATAGTCAAATCAACCGCTATGCTATCGGGTAAGTGGCGCCATCTCTCAAGACCGAGTCAAATCAAAACAAGGATAGATAACATGAGTCTCTCTGGCGCTTCTTTAAAATTGTACTAATCTTAACTCCAATTTTTCTTGTCTCACAGGGCTTCAAAATTCTTTTTGAAGCACTCAAAATATTCGTCTGTTTCTAGTTTATCCTAAAAATATCTTTATTTGGATTCGTACGGTCAATTTTGCATATAAAGCGAAAATGTAGTCTATGTAATAACAGTCTATAAACTTTTTTTGTTTTTCTTAAATTCTTATACCTTATCTAATTTTTTACTATATTCTCTTTTTTTTCTGGAGAGGCATTTTTCATTCCGATTCATAGTTTTTACAAAAATTTGAAAATACGACATGAGGGTAAAACAGGACGGCGGTTCAGCATTTTCTTAAGGGATTAGTTTGTGTTTCTTGATCGTTGTTGACAAACATCATGTTAGTTATATATAAATTTTTTTTTATGTCTTGCTATTTGTCCCTCACTGGACATTGGGCCTTTAAGGCACATTTATTTAATTTAGGTCTGCTTGAGGAAAGTAGATGTAGAGGTTTCTGTAGTGAGGGGAGGAAGGATAGCGTGCACATATTGTGTCGTTGTCCTTCTCTTGTACTCAAAAGATACAGATCCCTGAGCTTCATGTTTGCGAAACTCGAGGAGACCTGAATAATTACAAGATCGGTCAACTGTGTAGCTTGGCAGAAAATGCCGGGCTAAAACAGCTTGGCCGATGAACAACTAGCGAAAGTCGCAGAAGATCTAATAATAGATTTAGGTGACATAAAGGGACTCAACTTAGTGCCACTCGCTTAAATTATATCTCATCTTATCTTATCTTCTTACTACTTGTCAGTTGGCCGCTAAGGGAAAGAAGAAAATAATTTCTAATATTCTAGAAAGAACCGATCTCATGCGCTCGAAATTTCTGAAGTTCTACTGTACAAATATTAACCCCTCGTCCGTAAACTGGGTCTTCCAGACCCACTCACAAATTGTGCGCATCGACGTTTCTAGAAAAAATAAATTTTCTTTAAACGCTTCTATCTTCGAAACTACTAGAGATTTTTTCAATTTGTGTCTTTTGATCGACGCAGAACCGTTCTAACTTTCGATTCGAGGAAATAAAAGAATGCCGAAGATTCCAGGTTCGACTCCTGGCCGAGGAGTTTTTTTCGCAATATTTTAAAAATTAGTTAGGGAGGTATCCGAGGTCTTTCATATGTGAAATGCAAATCCAGCATCCCGTATGAATTTAAGAATCGAGATTTCAATTCAAAAAACACTCACTTGTAAAAGTGAGTGCGAAAAAAACTCCTCGGCCAGGAGTCGAACCTGGAANCTGCGGCTTTCCGTGCCATCGCCTTCCCTGTTAGGCCACCGAGGCACTTGGAGTTAGTCTCGCAAAATTGTAAAAATTTACAAGTTGAATTTTTGTTACATGTGTATATATACATATACACGCACAAGTTTCCGCTCAAACATCCTGCGAATGGCTCGTAAGGCATTATATATATTTCTTGTTATTAAAATAAAAGAAATATATAAAAGAATATTCAGTGTGTCCGACAATTGGTGTAACATCTCTCGTAGGCAAATAGGAGTACGCGCGTAAGACTTAGCCCAATGCAAGCTTGTTCGCGGATCTTTGTTAATTAAGATCTCGGTAATTATTGCAAATCTCGCAAAATGGTATAAGACTTTTCGACTCAGTTTTACTCCTTCTACTTGTCTACAAGAGATGTTACAGTTTTACTCCTTCTACTTGTCTACTTGTCTACAAGAGATGTTACACCAATTATCGGACACCCTGTATATTTATACAGTAAGGAGCATAACTGAACCAATAGCAAGAAATTTTTAGTAAATCATTATTTATTGCTGCAAATAATACGTGGATACGAAAAATAAGTTTTGTACATATATACATATTAGTTTTAGCTTATTATGTAAGATACTTTTACAGATTGGAAAGAGCGTTTTGTTTAAATATAATAAAGAAAAATAGTTGACTCAGTTTTGCACCAGCTTACAAATGGAATGTTTACATCAAATGTTCTAGCAACATGTTTACATCTAGCCGTTCCATATGTTTACATTATATAACTTTACGTCTTAGCATTCAGTTCCTCGCAGTCAGTCAAATGAAAAGACACACGAATAAAATAATAATAAATATAAAGCCAATTTCTTTAAATTGTATTTAAAAAATCACTTCTCTAACATACAAAGATGTTTTTCGTGTTTGAGCCGCGTTAGTGTCATTTCTTATACCGACGTTTCGTGAACATTTCAGTTTACTTCATCAAGGTTTAAAGAGCAACCTGATACTGTATCAGGTTGTTCTGGAGATGTCTAACAGCCAATTTTTTCACTTCTAGATAAGTTTTCGATAACTTTATCATCTCCCAAAATTGGTTCTCCTTATTGGTTCTCAGAGGAATTTATNCAGAGGATAACTATCGAGAGGTATGAAGAAATCGGCCGTAACAGCATTTGGTGTTGATTCATTGCACCGAATTAATGGCATCATGAATCAATACATATATACAAGGACATTTTACAAGATCATCTTTTAGATGCTATTGAAAATATACCTTTTGAAGAAAAAAATGTAATTTTCATGAATGACCGTGACCCCAAGCACACAGCTAAAAGCGTGCAAAAATTGGCTCGATACTAAAAAATTTTATGTTTTGGAGTGGCCTGCACAGAGCCATGACCTTAACCCCATAGAAAATCTATGGATTTTTTTATTAAAAAGGCGAATGCGGGATTCGTGTGATTCTCAACATCGATCACAAAATTGTATACTAGGATTAAAGAACAGTAAGAACAACTATCTCCAGATTATTGCAGAAATTTAATAGAGAGTATGCCGAGTCAAATTAATGCAGTTTTGCAAGCAAAAGGATTGTGGACAAAGTATTGAGAATAAATAACATAATAAAATACTGCCGAATTTTGAACGTGGTGCAAAACCGAGTTAATCTATATTTTTGTTGCTATTAATAAATAAAAAGACACTAATTGTTGAAACACAACTTCTTATGTTATTTCTAACTGTGACAAAAATATATGTAATGTTTATTTTTTTTATATTCGTTAGTGTTCTTAACATTAAATAATGATTTATACAAAACTTGTGGTTATTGGTTCAGTTATGCTCTTTACTGTAATATTCGATCTTACAGTTGCGTGGGTCTCACACACAGGGACTTATTACCGGTATGATTTCAATACCGGTATTATACTAGAGATTGTATACCGAAACCGATATAGTACCGAAATTGAGTGTTACCGTTACCGTTATAGTACCGAAACCGATACATTACCGAAAATCGTAATAAAATACCGGTATTATTTCGATATTCCTACTAATGGTATTCTTAAAAATTATATAGATACGTTAATAACGCGGCGGCACTCAACGCTAGATATGCTCGAGCGTCTTTTAGAATTAAAAGAATGTTGTGATGGTAACGATAAGGATCGATATTTATCTCCTGAAAAATGAGCCGAAATTAAAAAACATTGTGCGTTCTTTAACGCCAGCTCGTATTGCAACCAAGAAGTTGCAAGAAAAACAAACTTCTTATCGGAGATTTTTATCGCACGTGGTCACAATGTATACTAAAAACTACGAAATTAAAAACAATATTAGGAAACAAATTAATTGAACATATGAAAATATGAGAAAAACGTCTGTTTGAAAGTGATTGTTTTTTGGCAGGTATGTATATTCCTCGATGTGCGATGTAAACTCATCAAGTGTATGAGAGTTTGAGACAAAAATTTTTAATATTGATGTTTTCTTAACAGCTATGTTTCTGGATGCAAGGTTCAATATAATATTAAACAAAGAACAGAATGCACAAGCCCAAAATCATTTAACACGTACGTAGCAGTACAAAGAAAGAATGATAGAAGAACATGAAGAAGGATCATTGCATAACAGACGTGCATCAACTTCCTCCAATATAAATAAGGATGAAACTGAAATAGATGACGTTGAAAAGATGTTGAGGGAATTAGAGAAGAAAAGACGCTGTCAAGACAATTCCACGCCTTCAATAAATATTTTGAATATGTTGCAAAGTTTTTCAAAATATCCTCGTTTAGATTCTAAACAAAATATTTTGGAATTTTAGCAGAAACAAAAAAGTAATATTCCTGCATTATATTCTTTGTCTAAAATAGCTTTAGCAGTCCCACCTACACAAGTTAGTGGTGAGAGACTGTTCTCATCATTGAAATATATATTATCATGCTTACGTTATAATTTATCCGATAATATTCTTGACGATATTCTAATTCTCAGAACTAATAAAAATGGAAATTTTTAACAAATTTGAATATTGATAAATATGTCTATGTGTATTTCGTTACTGTTCTTAATTATATAAAAAAAATAAAATAATTTAAATAATATTAAGTTTCTGTGCGGCAGTTTTTTATAAACATTGTATTATTAAAAAGTGTTATCAACATAACGACAACACTTATAGTTTTAAGGTATTACTCTTAAAAAATCACGAAAAAATTATCGGTAAATATAGGTAAATATACCGGTAGTATCGTATACCGGTATGACGTCATACCGGTATTTTTGCATTTCGGTTTGCATAAGGGTTTTTATAGTATTACCCAAAAATATCGGTAAAATACCGGTATTTTGCATATCGGTATAAGTCCCTGGTCTCACAAAGTGGGTCCCAGTCTACAGGTTCTCGTAGATTTTTTTTTTTTTTATGTCTACAGTCGAAGGGTTAAAATTATTCTTCGAGAAGTGTCTCTTTTTCCTCCCTTTCCTTGTGTTAAAGATATGTTTTTTTACAGGGCACTTGGGGTTTTCATAATTCTTCGAATAAAAACACATCTTCGACAACGTATACTCCCGTTCCACAAATATCTTACAGACCGAAGTACACGCTTGTACGTACAGAAGCGTAACTCCTCGATGGCATCTTTGACGCGTGTTCCGCAAAAAAAGAACTGAGATTATCTATGGTCGCGCCACTGTGCGTACACACACCGGTCGTATTGTTTTTTCAGATTTTTTGTTAAAAATCTTACTGTTGCTATAAAAGTACACAAAACGTGATCGCATTTCGTTTCATATTCGCTATCTAGTCAACACGACGATCACGAGATCTCACGAGAATTAAACTACGTTAAGTGATATAATAAATAACGATTTTTAAATACTGATGTACAAAACTTGTTTATAACTCTTATGGCGAATAATTAAACTATATGGCAGTGGTCTCGCTACTTACATGTAAAGCAAATATTGCTGTCCTACTGTGTGTGTGTGCGCGCGCGCGCGTGTGTGCGTGTGTGTGACAGAATTGTCCGTGCCATTATCGTTTGTATATCGCAGCAAGACCGCGCGTGCACGGTCTCTGCATCTCTTCTATTATCGAGAACTACGACACACATTTACGGTCTATTTTGTAGCATCTTTTGGCTTTGTATAAAAAAAGTCTTACATCTTAGAAAACTCGTCGCCTGCGAATATATATGGCACGTTAATCTCAGTGCGATTGCAAAAATCCGACGCGACTTCTCGAGCAGTTTCTTTGGGACTAAGAGGACAGTGATGTTGAACGATCTGAGTAGGTGGAAAATACGAGTCTTTTCGCTCGAGAGAGTGCGAGGGCAATTGTTTTTTTTTTTTCCTATTCGCGCTTATTTCAATTTGTTTCATTCAACCGGACAGGAGCTCAGATGGATATTGTGCAACTCGGCCATGTCCGTCCAGTCTCTCCTGTCTGTTCCGATCATCACGTTCCTGATGCACCCGTTAAAATGGTCCCGTGTTATCAACGATCCTTTCGGTACTGTTTCTAAAAACCACAACAAGTCGTTTCGTTTCAACATTCGTTTTGTGTAGAGTGTTTGACATTTTAATAAGCAATTGACATTTAAAAAACTCACCGGGTATACCACCTATGTACAGAGGGCCGGGCGTGATGGAACTCATGAAATGATTGACTTTCGTCGGTAGGCCGTACTTCTGATCCAGCTCGTCAACTTTGAGCGCTAGTTCTTCGTCGTTGTACGTGGCCTGGATCATGTGCCATCGATTGTCGCAAATCGCATACGGGCTGGAAAATTGCTGTTCCACGTATAACGGATTCTTATCGCCAAGATCACCCGCCATGATAACTCTACCGTTATTGAGCTCCAACGACAGAGAAGGCGATCCACCAGGAGCGCTAAGAGACAGCAACACGCCGGACAACTCCGACGTTCTGAACTCCAGTTGGAGCTCGAGCGCAACGCCCAGTTCAAAATTTTTCTCTAGAAGAAGATTAAGTCTCTTTGCAAAAAATATTCACACACATTGTTTGCGAGTTGTATAAATATAATAAAATAAACACTTACGGTAAACGGCGTACGCCTCGTCCTGGAAATACGCTCCGCTTTCGACGCTCGGGAAACACTGGCCGACGTTGAACGCTCTGCTGGTAGAGCCCACCATATCGTGAATATGTCCGTTGACCTTCATTCCTCTGATGCATCCCTTCAGAGTCTCCAGTTTGACGACCACTTGTTCCTGAAAAGGTGTTCCGCTTTCCGGAAGACCGCCAATATACATCATAGGCGCCAGACCGATTCTTCTCGGTACTCGGACGAAGCGCGGTGTCTGAGAGTCCACCAGTACGGTAAGTCTTCTCTCGTCGTGGCTGATAACTACGTGATGCCAATTGCCGTCGTTAAACGGAGTCTTGAACAGTATCTCCTTCTTTTGTCTGCTCTTCACTAACGTGAGAAGCTGTCCATCACGGATGACCATTTTCAGAAAATGCGTTATCTTAAGACCCTGTAAAATATACGTCAGAAACACAATATCAATTAAAAATAATAAATGTTTATTGTTGCAGCAACTAATAATAATAATATTACAATACAGTAAAATAAAAAGTTCCAGTAGAGGGCAAAAATATTTATTATTGTGAAGAAAATTATATACGAACTGTTAAAAAAAAACATTTTATCAAACACTAGTCAACCAAAGTAAAATTAGTCAATTAATAAAATTAAAGCGATGCACTCCTTACCGGAGTGATGAAAAGCAACCCGTTGGGATAGTATGTCCTGAAGTCAAATTCTATCGTGTACTTCTTTTCCCAGAATTTCTTGAAATTGAGATAAAGCTGCGTGTGACTGTACGGTTTGTCGCCGAATTTCAGAGCGCCCTGTTCGAGCGAATAGTAAGGCACTTTCAGACATCCCTCAGGTTGCGTGGACATCCCGCGGGATAGCGATGCCGAGGGCGCGTAATTCGGGGTTTCCTTTCCCATATTCGGTCCGGGACGGCCGATGAGAGCGTTATCGAAGTTAAAAGCATTGTCGAATCGAAGAATTCTAAAATACAAAATATAAAAACTCACATAAAACATGACACGTCATCATTGCACACTAAACACAGAAATTTGACCAATCTCTATTATGTCCAATGAACGTTCAAATGGAGTGTGTTCTGTGGATAATCTGTCGAAGTTTTTGGATCAAAATTCAACTTCATTTTATTTAACTTACTCGTCGTTGAAAATCACATCCTTGATAGCACCGTAAAGCGGCGTGTGTGTGCCGACCATCTTGGTATTGTTGAGAAGAGAGGGCAGACCGCCGAAAAACAGTCCTCCGTTCGAAGTTGGGGCTCTAATAGCGGCGTTGGTAGGCAGTCTACCCGAGGTCTGATACGCATCGTCGATTCTTAGCTCCACTTCTTTTCTCTTCTTGATGACGGTGACCGAATGGTATCTTCCGTCGTTAAAAGTGCTGTTCGACTGAAGAACCAATTCGCCTTTGCCGGCGTTCAAACGAACCTGAACTTGTCCGTTGAAAACGCATACGGAGTAATAATCATTTCTCTGAGAAAAAAAAAAATCAGTTGAACGTTTTCTTAATACTTGTAATATACAATTTTGTGACTTATTTCTTATTTTTTTATTTTTACATACGTACCGAACTTACGTTTGTTTCTATGCTCGTGTTATATTCGCCCAATTTGTCTTCGCGACCTTCAAACGTGGAGAGAAGCAGCATAGCTGCTTCTTGCATGGTTCTGAAGGAGAAGCTGAAAAAGGAGTTGACCTTGCGCAAGGTAAATGCGGAATGCTCAAGATATCCGTCTCCGTTAAATCCAACTATCCTCAACGGCTGCGGCAAAATAAAATTTAATAAATCAAAAATCATAAAACTCTTTTACACACGTTGTGACGACGTAAATATACAAGTTAGTGAACGCTCACCTTATTACCGCAGTTGGGTTCCACCCCATGATACTCCTCGGCCATCGGATCGTAGCCTTCCTGAATTACAATATTAGCCATGCAACCGAGAAACGATACTTGGGAGGGTAACACGACATTTTCGGCGCGAAAGCTTGGCGGCACTCCGCCGATATAATACTTGGCTTGCGCAAGATCCGGGATGTCCTCCTTCTCGGGCAACGGCCTGGGCGACCCGATTCGCTTGACGTCGCCGCCGACGCTCAAGCTGCATTTCTCGATACCCTTGGTAACCTGATACTGCCGGAAAGCTTCCACCTTAGTCCAACTGCCATTGTTGTATTTGTGCGTCGAGGACATCTCTATACTAACGTTGCCGCCGTAGCCGATGTACAGAATCACTTTGCCCTCCCGCAAGAAGATCATGATGTGCTGATTCTGTTTAAAATAAAGAGCAATTACATATAAAACAAACGAGTATTTATGTAAAAAATAATTTCATATCACATTAATTCACGTACATTTTCATTAATGGCTAGAAATAGCAACGCGTTCTCGTCGTACGTTCGAAAACTGATCGAGACGCCAAACGTGTATTTATTGTAAGGACCAGATGAAGTCCTGTTTCTCACGGCGTATCCCTCGCCGTTGAAACTATAAGCTAAGTCATCTCGAATGTCTTCCACTCTGTAAGAAATAATCAATAAAGTAATTTTTAACAAGTGCGACATTAAACCATTATCAAACTGTCGGACAAGTAAAACTAAATTTTTGTTGATATACAAATTTTACAATCCATACAAATGTAAATATGTTTATAAAACAATACACAGATATGTGATTAAAAGATTCCAATGTCAAATATTACCCTTCCACGCAAGGTATGCAAGCCATGTCCGGCGCGGTTGTGACGAAATTCCAGAGACCGATCTGCTTCCCGTCGAGGATTACCTGATGAACGCAACCCGGAAGACCGTTAGCCGCCATCAGTTCTGGCGGTCTTCTCTGCGATTTGGGAATACCGCCTATCCATACTCGGTCTGTGGGCAGAACGTCGAAACGACCATACTCGAAGTTGGTCGAATTGATGACAGGAAGAAACTTGCCAGAAGTCGAGGACTGTTTACGTACGCTCAGTTTGCCTACGTGCCGAGTTCTGAGATTGGCCAAACATTCGATCATTTAAAATTGCGATCTCAAACAAGATGTTTAATTTTTAACTTAATTATATTTTGATGAAACAAATTGTTCAATTTTACTATCGACGACATTTATATATATCACATGTTTTTCATGACTTACCTCTCAGCTTCGATACGATACCAAAACGTATCGTTCTGCGGATCACCGTTCTCGAGTACTTCAGGATGCGTCAGTACACCCATGCCACCACCGATCTTCCACAAAAATCGCACTTTTCCGTTAACTATCTCCAGAGCGATAAAATCATCCTGCGAGAAGTCAAAATATATATTTCACCGTAATACAACATTTATATATAAAATTTCTATTCCTTTACTTATTATATTTCTATTGTTGTATTTGCACAAAAAAGCATACATTGATTCCACTGGGCAGATAAAACAGAGAACCCTCACTGCCCGTTGTCGGAAGCGCAAACGTAATTACAATCGAAGTTGTCAACGAGGATTGCAGTGTGGCCTCCGGTCTATACGAACGAATACACTCTTTACCTTCCGCCGACCTCAAAGAGACGCGAATCTGAAAAAGTAAGAAGCGTTGTTATAATATATATTTACTAATATTTAAAAAATGTCAAGAGATTCAAACTGAACAAGCTTGAATTGTCATTTATACCACGTCAGCAGTATTTCGAGCTTCCGCTATTTTATTCTTGAGATTTTGCAGCTTCGTGGCTAAAGTGTCGTTCCATTTATCGAAAGCAGCTTTTCTCTTTGTTGCAGCATTCGACAAGCTTATCAGTTTCCCATCGGCTTTTTTGATATTACCCAGCGCTTCTGTTACTGAAAAATTCATATATTTATAGTATCATCTTTGCGCATTTTGTCTAAGATTATTTATTTAATAATTAACCAATTGCGAATTTATATTTTTATAAGATACGTTACATTTCTCACTGGCCAGACCAATCTTGGCATCGCCATCGCGTTTCAATTCGTTCAGCTTCGTCTTCAGTCTGTCAGTGATACCTTGCTGGTAGTCGTCGATCAGTCGTTGCGTATCTTGTATCGATCTCGAGACTTCGTCATTTTTCTCCAAAATGTTGTGCAAGTTTTTTTGTACTAATATCGAAGAGAATACGTTTATTTTGTGCATTACAAACAAATTTATTTTGTGCATTACGCAGACTCGTAAAACTTACCATTTTTCCTTTTACTCTCCAGATCTCGCAATTTCACATTTATTTCGTTGTCCTTTATCCCAGTGCTGTTAAGTGCGTCTTTCAAATTGAGCACGGCTTGCTTTTGATTTTCCAGCTCGGCATTTGCAGCGTCAATCAATTTACCATGTTCCTTCGCCGTTTTCCACTGCTGCGAGGATTTCTCCGACACCTCGTTTGCATCGTCCAACAACGATTTCCGTCCAAAAGGAGGAAAAGCCTTGAAAAAGTATCTATATTAAATTTGTAGTCGACTCTCGAAAGTTTTCGACAATTGAAAATTTCTATATTAAAGAAAATTCAAATTCTTAGATTCTCAAGAAAACGGATGTTTCTTATTACTTTCTCGTATATTTCGTCGACAATTTCCTTGGCTTCCAATGCGGTAACCTTTGCCTTTTGCAAACCATCGACGATATTCTTGTAGGCTTGACTAGCTTTCAAAGGGCTCGCCGCGATGTCTCGCGTCTTGGCAAACAAGCTGCGAAATAAGAATTTAGGCACACAGTTGTGTAAATTTATTATTTTATTAAAATAATGTTGTTTAATGTTGCTGCAACGCGCATGATAATAGCATTCATTTTGAGTTATTATTATTGAAAGACGAAATATTGTACCTGACGTACTGATCGGCGTAATTGGACAGATTCTTCGCATGTTGCACCGCTGGCACAACATACTTTTCGTTGTATTCGTAATTTAATCGGTACAGAAGTTCCTCTTTCATGGTCAAATTATTTGCCCAAGTCGTCAATTTGTCCCGCAATTCTGGCAGATCCTGCGTGTAAATTAAACAATAGCGCATATAATTTATTAATCTTTAGTCCAATAAGAATCACACGATTTCTTTTAATTATTTGCAAGTGGTTTTTTGTTTATTTATTTTATTTTTCAATTATAAAATGTGTAATGTCTACGCACTTGAATATTGTTTTCCGCATCGACGAGCAAACCAGATGCTTTTTCAACGAATTTGTCTCCTTCGTTGATCAATTTGTTCGTCGTGTCACGCAGCGCCTCGATACGATCGCATTGGTTCTTGGCGTCGACGAATGTCCTGTTAATCTTGTTGTACAAACCGTCGTAGGTAAAAAGCGACTCCATAGTTTCTTCTATTATCGTTCTCAAATCTTTGACTTTCACCGCGTAATCTTCGGCATCATCTTCGGCGGTCGCGAGAGGCTCCGTTACATCGTCTAGAGAGTTCAGCCACGCTACATACTTAGCTACGTCGCTATTTTCAGATGAAACAAGATGATTCATTTATTAGAAATTTATTGAGAAAAAAGCGCCAGAAGAGCAGAAAAGAGTAAAAAAGCAACAAATATGTCGAAATTATCGAAGTGTTTTTAAAAGCTGATGCTTACTCGAGAAAATTCTCTACTTCCGTGGTTCTCGTAGCTATGTCGATAGACTTTATGTAATTCAAAAGCATCTTTCCCGTTTGCAAAACCTTCCTTATCTCCACTTTCTTATTGTCATTGCTGTACTGAGTGAGTTGCGAAATTGTATCTGTGAATTTCAGAAGTTAACATTAACAATATTGTTCATCAGATACACTAAAGCTGTTTTTACTGAAAAAGCGAACTTTGATTACCGTTTATGTCTCGTCTCAACTTATCGAGTTCGATCTTCGCGGTGTAAACGTTATTGTTCAAGTCATTACTTTTGATCTTTAATGTCTCCGCGTGATTCGCGCGCTTGTTCGTCTGCAAAAATAAAAGAACAAACCAAAATGTAAGTATATAAATTTATGAGCGCTATAATACACGTTGTCGCCACGTGCAAAACAACATAGTTGCGTACATTTCTCAACACAGATTCAACATCATTCATGAGTTTTCTGTACTCGTGCAAAGGCGTAGCTTTCATCCTTTCTTCTAGCCGAGTCCGCAGCTCCAGTTCTTCGAAATAAACGGTTGTGTTGGAATCGATGTACGTCAGCTCCTCCCACGGCGGTGGAATATAGCCGTCTGATATGTGACCCGTTCCCTCGGCCAGATCTTTGGACAGCGTCGCGACGGTATCGAGCAAAAGTCCCGTGCAATTATCGTCGCACGCTACAAACACGTTTATACGTTACATCGCGATGTAACACAATATTTGAATAATAATAATATTCTATCGAATAACTAGCGTCTACAAACTTACATGTGCAAACGTCATTTATATAAACGTGACGATATGCCGTGCACTGAGAACAATCTCTTCCCGTAGAACCGGACTTGCATTTGCACTGTCCAGTTTTGCTGTCGCAGGCCTCGCTCAAACTTCCCGCCAAGTTGCAATTACACGGAACGCACTTGCCGTCCGGAAAATCGGGAGAGCCGTAGTAAGCGTAGTCGCAACGTTCGCATTTTCTACCAACGTATCCTGAAGTAAAACGAAAATAAATCGACGTCTTTACAGACTCGCGAAAAAAACAATTAAAAATGTATTATAACAGCAATTTAAAGTTAGTGAAAATTACAAATTAACTACTAAAGGTCTATACAAGTCTATATGTTGAATGTCTGTGCTTAGTTTGAATTATTTATAATGTATATTAAAATTGCGATATTGCGGTGATAGTTGAAACAAGTGTTTTTTTCTTTTTTTTTTTTAATAATATTTTCCTATTTTTATTCACGTACCTGGTTTACAGTGACAAATGGGTTCGTTGTCCGCGCGAATGACACAAGTACTCGAAAATCTTTTGTCAACTTGCGGACACGGGCACGGCTTACAGCCTCCGAATTCCGGATGACCGTAAAAACTGTCGGCGCAAACGTTGCAGTGAGGACCGACCGTGTTCTCTCTGCAGTTCTGCAAGTGACAAATTTATAAAAAAAAAAACACAATTCATCTCATTATCGCGCAGTGAGAACTGTAATTTGTCATCAAATCTGTCTTCTCGTGCCACACTTCTTATCGCGCCGTTATCTTCTATAAACAGTGTACACATGTAGGAAAATGTTGAAGTAATGCTTACCAAGCAATATCCCGTCTCCTTGTCGCACATTTCAGATCTGCCGTTACATTGGCAGCGCCTGGCTTGTCCAACAAGATCGATCACGATGGTGGACGTGACCGTGGTGTTCTTGTACCACCTGTAATAGCCGATGCTGGGATCCTGGCAAGACGTGCCGTTGTATTCCGTCGGGCACTGACAGATTTCAACCTCGATCGCCAGCGGTGGCGAGTGTGTAGGTGTCAAAACGGCGGCGTCGAGAGACGCCTCTAAAAGTCTGAGCAGGCAACATAGATTTAATCAAGTAAAACGTTGCCTGAAATTTTTATTTTTCTCTAATCGATGTGTTCATCGAAAAGTAGAAACATCGCAAAAGACGAAATATACGACAATTATTATTATTATTATTTCTATAAAAAACATTTTTTTATAATTACGTACGTGGTTTTGGTGAATTCAGCGTTATCCGAAGCTTTCACGAGAATGTATTGCAGATTCTGTAACGCAACCATTAGCACCTCTCTGGAAACTTTGTAATCCGGTCGGTTTTGTAACTGCCACAACGACTCGTGAAACCTAATATAAATTTCGACACAAAGATATTTGTAAAATCTAATTTATGTTTACATTAAACTAGAAACAGAGATTTTTTCCATTTCTAACATTTCCAAATTATTTCAAAAAACTTACCTAACTTCATAGCGATTATCGTTCACTGGCTGAAGTAGATAATATTCCAAAACAATTTTGGTATTGCCTTGCAACTGCACCAGTGGATATCGGTGATTCGACCTCAAAGGTGTCCCACCTTCTGTCAAGGTTTTAAAGCGCAGGAATCCTCCGTAAGAACCAACCTTTAAGCATCAATAATGTGTAAATGCTGCTCTAATATTTAAAACAAAACTCAAGTTTTCGTCAATAGTCATGTTTGTTTAAGAATATGTTGTGTGTCGACAGGATGAAAAACAATTACCTTATCACCCAAAAAAGAATCTGGCAATCTCCAATACAAGGGATAACTGGAATAAAGATTCGAAGGTAATGTGACGTCACCATCAGATTCGGGAATTACGGTAAGGCCGTTCGTCACGTTCAGGCCACCGTTTACCGCTGGCAATGTGGTTGTGAAGCCGAAATTCGTTATCTATATGTTTAATAATCACAGATAACAATAATGTACTTGAAACACTAAGAATTATTTGTTTGTTTTTTTTTTTGCAACAATTTTAACGCGTACAAAATCGATAATACATCGCTTACTATTATATCGTTGACTGTGTCGTTAATGTAAAGAACACGGGGACGTGTCAGTCTACGTTGACCCCAACTGAATCCAGCCTGCTGACAAAGTGTGCTTCTCCCGAAACAGAAGCATTGCGTGCATCCCTTTGGATTATCTATCGATAGACCAAACGTACCTTTCGTGCACATGTTGCACTGTCGCCCGATGACCAGTTCCTTCAAAATAATATTTCAAAATAATTGTTCAATTAAATTGTCAAACTTTAAACATATAGAAAGTAAAATAAAGTGGACATCAAAATTTTCCACATAAAAAAGTTTTTTTTTTCAAGTCTATTTTCATTCTCTGTGCGTGTATTCTTTTATCTTTACTCAACAGCTATTTCTGATCTATTTTTCACCTTGCAAGGGCACTGTCCCTTGTCGTTGCACTCGCAGATACCGTCCCGACACTGCGTTGTGCCGGCGACGTTGCAGCCACAGGGACGACATCTCGGATAACCGTAGTAGCCTCTGGCGCATTTTTCACACCTGAGCCCGTCGTAGCCGATCCTGCAAGGGCACTGACCCTGACGATCGCACTCGGCTCGCACCGCGCCCAGGGTGCAAGCGCAGGGTCTACATCCAACACGTGGCACCAGATCCCACGAACCGGGTATGCACCGGTCGCAGTGTTCGCCGTAGGTCAGACGTGGACACACGCAACGACCGGTGTCGGGATCGCACACGTGACCGGGTCGCACGCACAAATCACATCCTGTAAAAGAAAACTCTTGATTCTTCACAAACCGAGGTTTTCAGATAAATAAAAATGTCCACATTATTTATCACAAAATCTAGTAATAAGATTGACATCATTACTTTTAGTGAACAGAGCTGTTTTGTTGAGCTGTTCATTTACACATTGAAAGACTTTTGACTTTCTTTTTTGCTTGTTTGTATCGAAATAATCAAAAAGAATATTAAACACTTTAAATTTTCAAGTTGACAAAAAAACAATGGAGTTTTACGTTGTTTTTTTTATAAAATTCCGAGTCAATTTTTATCGCAAAAACACTACCGCAACTTTAATAAAATAAAATTTACAAAAGAAAACTTTTTTTTAGTAGTATTTTTTAGTAATAACATTTTTAAGTAATAAGTTATTTTACTAATTGAGATCGTACGTTGGCATCCATTCGATGAAAATCCGTAATATCCAGGCAGACAAACGTCACAGTGCGAACCGCCCACGCCTGATTTACAATAGCATTGTCCCGCGTCGCCGTGACAGGACGTGTTGAAAGATCCCATGAGATCGCAGTTGCAAGGCATGCAACCCGATCCCGATGACAATCCCCAATAACCAGTCTAAAAGGCGTTGACGTCAAGTTAGACAGATAATCGTTTGTGATGTGTGAAAAGAAACGTATTTTCTTATTTTTAATGTCAAATCGATGTCACGAAATTGGTTTTGTTCTTTACCTTACACTCGTTGCACTGTCTACCGACAACGTTAAGCTTGCACTGACATTGTCCGGACACTATGTCGCAGGTCGGGCTGATGGAACCTAAATTACTGCAGCCACATCCTGCAATCATGCGAATATTATCTTTTAAAAATCGAAGTAAAACTATATGCGCGGATCTACAGAAATTAAATTTTCAAATAGAAAGTAAACACGTATTGTGCGTACACCCCAGCGCTTGATTTTATTCCCCCAGGGTGAAAATATTGTGAAATTATTGCACAAAAATGGCATCATAAAACATTTCACAATGATTGCACTCAAACAATTCGCTATAACGCAACAGTTGTCATAATAAAGTTTTGTATAAATAATATTTGTTTTGTAATATTTGTATTTTGTTGTTGTTTGTAATAAAACGAGGCTAAAATTATTCCAAAAGATTATTTATTTCCGATAATCGCGAGATCGCGGCCGTGGTGTAACCAGAGATGTGCATTATTTGAAATGGATGCGTTTAAAATAGAAATGCAAAATGTAAAATGCCTATTTTGTATTTTATATTTAAAATATATTTTTTCAAAACCTATTTTACATTTCCATTTAAATGGCTTTTACTATCCATTTTCTATTTCAAATACAATTTTCTCGTACAAAATTAATTGAGATACAGTCAAACTTCCATTTTTGTTTTCTACGTATTTGTTGGTTTCTTTTTCACATATACAAAGGCTGCGTTTTGATATTCACTGCCAGTACTAAAAATCTATACTTTACATTATATGTACTATAGATTTGCAATATTGGCAGTAAATATCGGAACGCAATGAAACTAATATACATAAATACTTCTTCTACTAATGTACATAAATACTTCTTCTCTTTTTATCTATAACGAAACAAACTCAAGATTGCTAAAGTTCCGCTAGATCAGGGGTCGGCAAAACGCTGAAAACGGGCACGGGCGCCCGCGAGCGCCCGCCATTGCCCGGCCTTTACGCACGCATATTATAATCGACAGTATTCAGATCGCAGAAGCGCACTTATTCTTTTTGGCACCTTGAGATAAAACTGATAATACTACTACTAATATATAATATGTACTAATAAACTAATATATGATAATATTAATATTAATATATACTAATATTTATTTTATATATATATATAGTATATA